ATGAAGGTTTACAATCAAAAATTAATCACACACATCATGGTGGTTTAGGTTTTCATGGTGCTGACAACAGTGGAGCGTCGAGTTCAGGCAATTGGCAACGTCAGCCAACGAAAGCAACCTTTGTGCCAGCGAAAACCGAAGAAGGATCATCTATGGAGCATATCGTCGTGGAAAAAGAAGAAGAAAAGTCGCCAGATAAACAAGAAAAAAAGAAGAAACGAAAGTCATAAAATATAGAAATTTTCTTGTTAAGTTTTCTATTTGATGTAAATAAACAGAAGAATATGACGTTCATTCGGACAGTTTCAAATCGAGCTTTTTTTGTCAAAAAAAGCAAAATCTAATGGCGTTATTTCGTTCGTTACGTAATGTATTGATTCGTTCAAGTACGTCGATATATTAACAGAAATTTCAAAAACGACCTTTTCTCGTCGCATACTTTGAAGAAAAAAAAAACGGCGAGAGAGAGAGAAGACAGAGAAAAGAATAAGTATGATGTCAACGTAAGTTTCTCCCTTTTTTCTTCTTTTTCATTTCCGACATTTCATAAAGCAACTCGTCGTAGTGAAGATGTCGACTCACACAGAAGAAAAACAAAATGAAAAGTTCTTGAAAACTGACAAACATCAAGCCAAACACAATCTAACCAAAGAAGAAATCAGACGTCAACGATTTATCAAAGGTTTGAAAAAGGATATGTATGCTGCTATTCTTCATCAATCATGTTTGCTTGTCTAACAATGCAATATTTGTAGAGAAATTTGTTTGAGACAATCTCTCCGTGAAAGTCGATTCGATTCAAGTCTATATAAATCTCCTCCAAAAAAACGTTCACAAACAACGAATCGACGATCGAAGGTTGATTCGACTGTTGCGTAAATTACTCTTTTCTATTTTATCATCCATTCATTCGATTGTTTCCACGTAGACCTTCAAAGAAAAATCGGCAACGTTCTATGGAACATTTTCAACGCGGTGAATTGCAACGTCTAAACGCTGATGTTGAAACTATTCTCGTATGTAATAGATCGATCAATGTCGTTATTCAGATGAAATTTTCTGTTTGGTTTTTTTCAAGACAGGACCGGTGATTAAAACATTCTACACTGAATTCCTCGAGAAAACGGCACAACAACAACACTCAAAAACAAGTCCTCGAATAAATATTCGTTGATGAGAAGAATCACTTCTACAAACAGATGAACAAACTCAATCGCAACAATTTTTCTGCTAATTTTTAACATAAATCTAAGTGAAAACAAAAGCGGGTATAGCTTCATCGTTCTTCATATTTGTCATAGCAAAACAAACCTATGAAATATCTTTTGATCATAATATGTATGAAAATGCGGTGACTAGGCGACGTTGAACGAATTTGATTGCTATTCAAGCGTACCCAATGATCTTTGATCTCTGGTCATGGTTACTTTGCTCAACTAATTCTAGCATGGAAGTCTTTTCGTGTTCGAAGAGATGATAAAAGTCTATTTATTTCTATTGATGTTTAAAATAAACATATGAAGAAGAGAAGAATTTTCCTAGGAAGATTTAACATGGTAATCGTGACGAAGAAGTTGCAAATTCAATCATTTGAAAGATTTCCTTGCGTAGAAAACAAATCAGGAATAAATAATCATGAACACAGAAAACGAAATGAGTTATGCTAATCTAAGATTTGTTATTATATCACGTCGCGACCGACGTACGAATAAAATTTTCACAATATGTCAACAAACAAAAATGACAATGTGTACGCAGCATATGTAACAAAAGAAATGCAGATGAATTTTGAGCAATAAACATTCAAAAACCGGTTGCTATTCTGCTATCAGCACCTGAATTGAAAAAGTCGTCATGCACATAAACGGAACAAGAATGGGAATTAGAGCACATACAAATAGTTATTTAGCTATACACAACATAAGAAAAAAAAGCAACACATATCTCCGCGATGAGAGACAGACAAAAAAAAGAAGAACAAACAATGAGATTATTATATAAACGAGAAAGAAAAGAATCAATTCGATTAGTATCAAAGCTTCTCCCAAGCGACTGGTGATGGCGGAAGTTCATGTGCTTGAGCAACCTGTGATCTGTAAATGAACGCATACGTTAACGGAAATAGAAGATTAGAGAATTAATACTTACGTAGCAAATGTTTTGTATATTGGCGAATCATGATTCAGTCGGAGCGGTACACTGTTAGCCTGACTGAATTCCATCAATAGTTTGTGCATGTATTCTAATAAAATAAAGTAAGAAACATCGTGAGAGCAAAATCGATATATTGTTGATAGTACCTTTTGCTTGACGTAAACTCGTGAAACTTTCATCGGAATCATCATAACGGAATCCGCGAACAGGTTCAAGATTGACAGTATACTGACGTCCGTTGGGTGTGGAAAAACAGCAGCGACACATGCATGAGTGATAACGGATACGTCCTTCATGAATATAATTATTTTCTATAACGAAACAAAACATGATTTTCCGTTTCGTTCGCTGCAATCGCTTACCTAATGCTTGATTTATTGTGATTCTCTTTTTTGGATCCCATGTCAACATTCGTAGTAAAAGTTGTACAGCTTCATGAGTAACATTTTTTGATAGAGAATAAAGTGTATTGACTTTTGACGCACGCCAAGTTTTCGACAGTATATACGATTTAGCACCATCACACGCAGATGAGATCTCTTCTAACGGTGGTGTACCCAGTAGATTCAGTATTAAATCAAGCTAGAAAACAAATGGAAAATAAAGTGATAAATTTCGAACGATGACAATTTTCCTACTTGTTTGAGAGGTGACGATGCCTGAAAGAGGATCCTTCTCCCGAGTAGTTCAGCGAATATACATCCAACACTCCAAACATCAATGGCATATGAGTAATGTTGTGCACCGAGTAGTAATTCTGGTGCACGATAGTATTGTGTCACAACTTCTTGAGTCATTCGTTTCGTTCGATCTAATTCTTCAGTTCGAGCCAAGCCGAAGTCGCAAATCTAGAATGAAACACAACGCGTGATATGAATGAATCACAAGTCAATCTACCTTTAGTAAGCAATCGCTGTTAACTAGAAGATTTCCCGGTTTTAAATCGCGATGAATAACGCCAGCTGAGTGAAGAAATCTCAACCCTGAATGAAATGAAATATGCAACAAACAGATTTTTTTAACATGAAAATTTTACCTCGAAGAATCTGATAGAGAAACACTTTACAATGGTCTATGGAGAGAGCTTGCTGTGAAACAATGATTTTATGTAAATCAATCTGCATCAATTCAGCTAAGATATGCCTAGAAAAAAAGCAGCATATTGCAACTGGCTTATCCAGATAAGTTTCACCTACACTTCATTGAATAATTCAACTTGACTAGGTGGTTGGAGTATATCAATAGCTTGAAGAATCTAAACGCAAAAATTTGTTGGATATTTTCTCGATCAAGATGCTTGCTATTGCTGGTCTTACATTATCGTGTCGAAATGTGCAGAGCATTTTGATTTCTCGAAATGCCCTTCGAGCTGCAACAACGGACTGGAAAACATTGGGCATTTTCTTCAAAGCAACGCGTCGACTTGTTCGCGGATCTGTTACCGCCCAAATGACGCCGAATGCACCATAGCCGATGAGAAAATCTACATCAGATCAGACAAACAAAAACGTTTGAAATTGACCAAATGAAAAAACGTTTTTTCTCATACCTCCAGGTTCATTTTCACTATTGGACGAAGCAACTGCTGTTGATGAAGTTGACGATGAAGACGTGCTCGACGACGAGTACGAGGATGTACCTTGATTGTTCGTGTAATAATGTTGTTGCTTATTCTTACTCATGCCATGTGTCATTGAGATCTGAATGTGAATATATCTATTGAAAATTTCTATGAAGAAAAATCGCACACACTGACCATTCTTTCAGAGTTGCATATCTGTCAATGTTAGAGTTACTCTAAGAAGAAGAAAAAGAGAAAAGAAGAAAATATGCCAGTCAAACGATCGACATGAAGACAGCGTTAAAAAAACATATGGACTATGATCATGGACGGACGGACAAAAATGGACGACCGATAGTTTGTACGTTCGTGTACACACAGGAAGGAATGAGAAAAGAAGCGAAGAGAAAGAAAACATTGACATGACCATGGTCAGTTTTGATCCAATAGGTTAATAGCTTGACAAAAAAGGAACACATCGAAGAAATAATTGGTTCACTCTTATTTTCAATGGACGTGAAAACGAAAGGATTTCATTGAACGCAAAGATAAGATTGTGGGTGCGAGAAATGATCATCGACAAGATCTTAACTATTGACTACAATTATTATTGTTTTCAAAATAGACGTTTGTCAAAAAACAAAGAGTTGTCTTCGAAGCCAATTGACAAATATCAAATGATATTATTGGTCGTTCGAAGATGAATTGTTGTTGTGTATCGTACCGTGATTTAATACATGTTAGGTTGAGTTTCTTTTCATCTGTCGACATTTATCAATGTTTTGTAATGAAACTTAATGTCAAAACAAAGATTTGTTCTGTATGATCAAAATCAAAAGAAGAAAATGTTCGTCTATGGGTGTATTCAATGCATAACTCAGAGTTCACGTTGATGTTTATCCGACTTTGCGTAATAATTAGTCCTGTTAGTAAATCATGAGAGTTCTCTTTCAATCATTGGAGATATTTTTGTAAATCAATGACGCACATTTGTATGCTAAGTACAAATGCCGACGTCATCATGTCGGATCATTGTGTGCTTTGTTGTATGAACAAACGAGATCATTTCGTCAAATTTAACTTTTCTTTCCGTTGGGATGATTTACATTTCTGAATTCTTATTTTTACATGCTAAGTGTGTTATCATTGCAGATGTTTCAACGATGACGTCTTTTTTTTATTTCGATCAGTAAAAATTAGGTTAAAGAACAAAAAATGTCTTGTTTACTCGTAGTATAAGAACCGAACATTTTTACTCGACTTTATTTTCGCAACTTTTTTCACCATGCCAGGCAGCATCAACAGTGATGGAAGTGTCTACAATGCATCAGGAGTCCGATTAGGTCAAATTAATTGTGATGGAACTGTCTACAATGCAACGTATACTAATGTAGGCAACATTGAAAGAGATGGCACAGTTAGGAATTCTATGGGGATGATGGTTGGCAAAGTAGAGGATGATGGAACGGTGCGCGATAGCAGATTTATTACGATTGGAAAGGTTGACGATGATGGTACAGTTCGTGACAGTAACTTCTTGAGACTTTGCCAAATCTATAATGCTCCATCACCGGTATGGGTGGCTGCAGCGTATTTCTTTTTTGACTTCGATTTGTCGTAATTCACTTGTTTTTACTCAATAAACAATATTTTCATAGAAATAAATCAGATTGCTTTTGAAATTCTATCTTAAAACGCATTTCTACTAGGCTTGATCGATCATTTGGTAGTCAAACGCTCTTTATAGAGGAAACAAATTCACCTGTTCTTCCGAAAGATTATATTCTCGAGAAGAGAATGAAACACGCGTTGCTTGCGTTTCTTTTGCAATGTTTTTTTTGAAGCTCACATTTTTCACAAACGACACAGGAAGAAAAGTAAAATAAAGACATTTTCTATGGCTAAATTTCTTACCACTATATTCTCATCGATGCAAAACATGATGTCAACTTGTACACAACCAAAGAATACAAAATCAGTGTCTTTAACTGAGCTATTGGACGAAAAGCAACCCTACGAAGAATATGATCGTCTTCAGGACGAAGAATTATCCAAGTTAAACGATGATGACGCAACGCTTTCGAGAATTCAAGGTTCTTTACTCGGTCTTGCTGTTGGTGATGCACTTGGAGCAGCAGTTGAATTTCGATCTTACTCGTACATGAAAAGCAATCGTGTCACTGACATACAAGGCGGTGGGACGTGGGGTTTGGAAGCAGGAAAATGGACGGATGATACATCAATGGCACTCTGTCTGGCTGCTAGCTTTATTGTTAAAGATGGCTTCGATGCTTACGATCAGTTAGTACGATATAAGTGGTGGTATAGAAGAGGTTATATGTCATCAACGGGAAACTGCTTTGATATTGGGCAAGCCACACGTGATGCAATAACAACATTCGAAAAGCGTCAGCGCCAGTGTGCGAAAAATTTAGGTATATCACCCTCAGATGGCTCTATAGATCGTTTAGACCAAACACAATTGTCGGAAATAAAATTAGATGTAAACTGTGGTGATCCAAAAGCTGCTGGTAATGGGCCATTAATGCGCTTAGCACCAGTTCCTTTATTTTACCACTGTTCGGAAGTTGATGCTATTCAAAAAGCAGGTTCTAGTGCAACTCTCACCCATGGAGATAAAAGAGCTAGTGATGCGTGTCGATTCTATTCTGCACTCATTTGGAAGGCGATTCATGGTCACTCAAAAGATGAACTTCTAGATCCGAAATCTTATCAGAATAAATTTTCACCACCACTCGATGCTGATGTCATGAGGATCGTCAAAGGCTCTTATAAAGAGAAGAAAGGGTACGAGGATGGTATTCGTGGAACAGGCTTTATTCTGAACTCATTAGAAGCAGCTTTGTGGGCATTTTATAATGACGAATGTTCTTTTGAAAAAGGTGCACTGGCCGCTGTTAATTTAGGTGATGATACCGATACGACAGCCGCCATATATGGTCAACTTGCTGGAGCAGCGTACGGTATCGATAAAATTCCCGAACGTTGGCGTGAGCAAATATTCGAACGCAAATTTATCGTTACTTTAGCTAACGGACTGTTTATCCATGGAAAAAAACTATTCAGTTCTTCCAAACGAAAGTTCGAATTTGACATACATTCTGATAATGCTGATCAAACTAACAGAAGGCCAAAAGCGTCCAACGAATCGGACTGCTGACCTATTGTTTTGTTGTTTTCTACGCTTATTTAATCATGAAAAAAGATCGGGAAGGAAGATTCTTTTGATTATCGAAAAATGTATAATAGTCAATCCTTTCACTGTTTCTTTCTCTACGTTTATTCAATGTAAAAGAGCCTTTGTCATTCAATAACTGAAAATTTAATGCGCGTAAAAGTATAAATAGGAAATGTTAAGCTGTTGGATCTTTTTTCATTAATGCAATATCAGCCGCAACCATCTCTTTAACCAATTCCTACAAATGAAGCAAATGAATTGAAAAATTGGAGAATACATTAAGTAAGAATCCTACTCGAAAAGTAATCTTTGGTTTCCAGTGAAGTTTTTCTTCCGCTTTCTTTGGAGTACCAATTAAAAGATCCTGTCAGAAAACGAAACAACATTCATTTCCAATCTCGAATCATTAGTTAGTGATACATACGACTTCTGTTGGGCGAAAATATTTTGGATTAATTTTAATACGAACGACACCCGTGTCTTTTTCTTTTCCAACTTCGTTGATACCTTCACCTTCCCATCTATTCGAAGCTTTCGTATTTCGATACAAAACATTTCATCATTAACTTACATAATTCGTTTGCCAATTTCCTGAAATGCAGCTTCGACGAATTCGCGAACACTGTGTGTTTCACCGGTAGCAATGACGAAATCTTCCGGTGTGTCATGTTGTAGCATTAACCACATGGCTTCAATATAATCTCGAGCATGTCCCCAATCACGTTTCGAATCCAAGGCACCGAGTTCAAGAACTTCTTGTTGTTGAAGATGTATTTTCGCTACAGATCGTGTAATTTTGCGTGTGACGAAATTATCGCCTAGGAGAAGTCATTGCTAAAGTCTTCGAAAACCAAATGTCACTATCCGCCTAGACCATACCTCGTCGTGGTGACTCATGATTGAAGAGAATGCCATTGACTGCAAACATATTGTAGGCTTCACGGTAATTGATTGTTATCCAATAGGCGTATAATTTAGCAGCAGCTATGGAGTTAATGAAGATATGTTTTCAGATAGAAGAAAAACCAAGGAACTTACCATACGGTGATCGAGGATAGAAGGGTGTTGTTTCACTCTGGGGAATTTCTTGAACTTTACCGTAGAGTTCCGATGTCGATGCTTGATAAAATCGAACTTCTTTTTCAAGACCACATGTTCGAATGGCATCCAAGATACGTAAAGTACCAACAGCGTCCACATCAGCTGTGTATTCACTTAAATCGAATGAGATCTAAAAAGCAATTTCATATTTGTTTAACTTGTTCACGTAGTCAAATCTTTACTTTAACATGACTCATAGCACCAAGATTATAGATTTCAGTTGGCTTGACACTAGCAATAATTTTAACTAATGATGAACTGTCGTTCAAGTCACCATAGTGTAATTTCATTGCTAAATACACATGAAAACATACTAGCGAACGAAAGATTGTGTAGGAAATGTTTACCTCCTTCTTGATGTAATGCAGGATTTGCATAGAGATGATTAATTCGGCCAGTATTGAAGCTACTTGAACGTCGAATAACTCCATGCACTTCATAACCTTTCTCCAGGAGGAATTCAGTCAAATAACTTCCATCCTAAACAAAAAAAAACAGAGAAGTTCTCACTCAGTTAATCAAATCCGTTTTTGATAATTACCTGTCCGGTAATACCAGTAATCAAAGCCACCTTACGTTGGCTTCTTGCATTCGTAGCTACCTGACTATCTTGCGGTGTCATTTCTAGAAGAAAAAAGATGCGAAGTGATTAACTAGTGAACTATGAATTGTACAATCTCTTGTATGAAATCGTCGATGTCAATACAAAGCGCAGATCTTTCTTTCCATCGCCTAAGAATTTTGTTGTTTAGTCTGGTATGTCAAAGACATAATAGAAATGAATGAATATACAATAGATATCACAAATCATTGTTCTTCTCTCGTTCTTCTTACATATCAATTATCTATAGATATCAGTTTCTTTCTTCGTAGTGTGTCTTCAAGCGCTCTAAACTAAGATTTTATACTGTGTTTTGATTGGTAAGAATACTGTCTAATCCAAAAGATGTACACCTTTTTGGGAAGGAAGGAAAGAACGAGCACAACTTTATTTAGGGTAGGCGTAAATGTCTATTAATTCTATTTGTAGTATTTGTCTTTAGAAAATTTCTTTCAACTGATTCGAGATATTTATTTGAAGAATTTACTAGGAGTCGCTTGTTTTCCTTTCTAGACATGACTTCAAATAATTCAAATGGGCTCGATCGAACTCAAACGAATAAAGAAGATGGACTAGCCCAACTGAGTTCGTAGAACAAATAGAGATAACTGAATGTAACTTTCGTTCTATATGTCCGCTGATTTTTTTTATCTCAGGTCGCTCAGCAGACAATACAAGAAGAATTAAAAACGTCCAAGACAAATTTGTGAATAGTCAGGTACATGATTTCGTTTTTGTTAGCACGCTTAACTAGTTGACAGTCTCGGTTGATTTTGTAGAACTTGCAGAAAGAAGGCCGAGCCCTAGTTGGTGAAGGCATTCTTATGAAAGTATGCCGGAAAAAGCCGAAGCAACGTGCTTTCTTTTTATTCAATGATATTCTTGTCTATGGACGTGTTGTCATCAGTGGACGTAGGGTAAATGATTTGTTTTTACTGCGAAGAAATGTTTGTTCGTTCGTTTTTTTTTTCTTTTGTAAATCTAGTATTCACAACAAAAGATCATTCCACTCAGTGAAATCCAAATTAGTGCTCCAATCGATTCGCCTGGTACGCTCGATGTCGATATTTGAATCTTTTGTTTAAATCATGACTTATAGAAAACCCATTTGCATGGTTAATTAGTAGTCCAAAGAAATCATTTGTTGTTCGAGCGAATTCAGATCGCGAACGACAAGAATGGTTAACACATCTCGAACGTTGTATTCGTTATGCTTCCGGTATGTTTTGAAAAGAATTTGAACGACTCGATTTTCGAAATGAATCATTTAGAGGGAAACAATTCACACCATAATGCTGTCGCTGCACATTGGATACCTGATGACAAAGCAGATACATGTATGCATTGTCATACGTCGAAGTTTTCCGCTGTGAACCGTAAACATGTAACTAAATCAAGTCGAGTCAATTCATTGTATCGGTTCGTGTTGTAGCATTGTCGAAATTGTGGTATTATTGTTTGTGATGGTTGTTCGAAGAAACGCTTTTTACTTTTACATTTGGATCCAAAACCAGTTCGAGTATGTGACTCGTGTTTCACAAAATTAAATAGCAACACTATTATTGGTAGTGACCAAAAGACAAATCAATTCTTTGTAATTCAATTTATTTCTTTTGAAGATTCTCGAGCAAATCAACGTGATCGAACTGCTGATAGTAGTGATAGTGATGGTGATGAAAATGCTCAACAATACTCTCCCATTCCGGTAATGTATTTCCATTTCATTTTCTACGAAATCATCTTCGGTTTTAGGCCACATTCTATCAAAACGTTGAAAACCTCTAAACAATTCGACTTTACTGTTCATTTCAATTACAATATAACTAGTTGATCATAGAAACAAACATTTCTGACCAAACTTCTTTTTTTTTTATACGTATATATATATATTGATTGATTAGTCTATTATTCTTAACATTATCGTTGTTTTTCCGAAATTTCCGAATGCAACATCTCTTCTCTGTCAATGAATAAAAGTATCTAAAGAATGTGAAGTTCATTTTCGCTCGCTGTTTGCATTGCGCCAATTCGGATTCGCATAGCAATTTTCCAAATCATTTGTTCACTTTTCATTTCGTATCTCAATCAAACGATGGACTATTTTCATCAATCAAATGAATTTTCGGACGTGAAGATCTCGTTCAAAAATGAAACTGGTAAATGCATCAAAATCGATCGCTACGCTTATCATTTCAATTCTATCATAGATGTGATTCTCTATGCGAACAAAGCTATTCTATCGGAAGCGTCACCGATCATAAAAGCATTTTTAGCTATCGAACCTGATAGTACCTTCATCATTGATGAAGATGACGAACAATCGAGTATAACATCGACCGATATGATTGAATTATTAAAATTTATCTATCCACAATTTACAATTAAAATAACCGAACAAAACAGTGAGATTTGTTTGTCTCGATTAGAATCAGTTTATTTTCTTGCTAGTTAATGGTTTAATCCATCTATCGGAAAAGTATCTGATTGAAACACTTCGAAATGAATGTAAAAAGTACATTCACACATGGCTAAACGATCTGGAACTGACAACCGTTGATGAGAAGAAAGAATGTGTACCGAGGCATATTCTTTATAAAGATGGAACACGCAAACACATTGCATCGGAAATAGGTAACAAATTATGTTCTACATTAACGCGCGTCGAATTTCGTTTAATCATACATCCGACATGATTATCAGTGTCTTGTAGCTAAGCTCACACCGGAACAGACGAATCGTATTCGTACTCTCTCGATCAGTTGCAAAATCTATTTCAAATCATTGTTCATTTCAGGCACATTATGTACATGGCTTCATGAATATTTGTCACGTGACGAAATACTCTCGTCGTCGATTCTCAATATTCTCAAACATGCCTCGACCGATGACCTTGAGCGAAATGAAATCTTCTTGCAAATGATCGATCGTGAAAAAACGCACATATATAAGGTGATCAGTGAATATTTGGAATATCAAACAAGTCCTGACAAAGATTCGTCAAGAGTTATTCATCATAAACAATCTAGTTCGTTGATGTTTGCGTCCGGCGACAATTGAAAACACATTGAATTGAACACACACGGACTTTTTTGTTTTTACTTCATCTCAAGAAAAAAAAACGTCGGGGTCATCCAGAGTTCAACTAAAAAAAACTAATAAAACCCTTAGTAGCGTTACTAGAGGAAATTGAATTTTTTTCCTGCTTTTGATGCTAGTCAAATATGGCAATTCGCCAACATCTTATCGCCGTCTGTATAATCATTCGTCGACACGGGAAAAGTGACCGGCGGCGGCGGCGAAGACAACAACACGGTCCGCCAATACAAACGTACGTCTCATTCGATGGTCATTGTACAGAAAGACAAAAACGAGGAAGAGAAAGAAAGAAAGAAAGGGAAGAAAAATTTTCTCGCTCATTCTCCTCTTCACTAGAGAAACACTCACTCAACACAACTCAACGTATTCTTCTCGATTTCAAATATAGAGTGCGCGTTGGCTAGCGAGCCTCCGAAAAGACAATTCAATAAGCATTTTTGATTTACAGCATGACCAATTGTTAATCAATGGATAACAACGAACTTCTTCAAGAATCTTTTGATTATGATCATTTTTTTGGTGAAAATACCGATGAATATCATACAATGACCTGTTTGGAAACAACGAATGAAAATCTTCTCGATCTCAACAATAATAATGAGACCCAAATGAAGAATCGAACTACAGGTAGATATCCATCTTTTCTGACATTTTTACCATGTCCGAATCAAAGGCAGATGTTTTCTTTTATGACGACGATTACCGTACGATTGATCTTTGTCGTGCGCTGAATGTTAATCAATAAGAAAAAGAGATATCCTAGAAAATAGCACAAGTTACTAATCGTATCTCGTCGGACATGAGAAAAACGTCATTAATCATGACGAAATTCGCTTGATCATGACCAGAGACCATCGCATATATGAATAAAGATAATCGTTGTCTGCATTGAAGAAAATTCACAAGAGAATTTTGCTCTTCGATATGATTTATATCGATAAATGTATATTTTTTCCTCTAGGCAATATTTTAATGGGTACAACTGTAAATGAATATTTCAGCTCCGGGGTTAATATAATCAATGGTCAAGTTATTAAAACTGAAAATGTAACACAATATTTCAATGGAAATACAAATCAATATAATACTAATAATAATAATCAGCAACAACAATCGGTCGCTTTTGACAATGTGATTTATAATACGACGCGTAAAGTTTTGTTTGGCGACTAGTGTTCGTGTTGAAAAATGAAATTATTCCATTTCAGTCGTTCCTAATCCACCGATTTATAATATACAGCCAGTAAATGTTCAAACAATTGAGAAACCTGCTGTTGCCTCGCCACCTCCACCGCCTAGAGTGTATAAACCGTGTGTAGTTTGTGGAGACAAGAGCTCCGGATATCATTACGGCGTATCAAGTTGTGAAGGTACTTATTTAATTTTCATTCAATTGACTAAATTACTGATATATTTCTCTTTTAGGTTGCAAAGTATGACTTTTGATTGCATTTCGTGGTATGCAACTGCATATTTTCGCTGTTTTCTAGGGTTTCTTCCGACGTAGTGTTCAGAAAAACATGGCGTATCAGTGTCATAAAGATCAGAATTGTGAAATCAATAAAATGACACGAAACCGTTGTCAGTACTGTGTAAGGGGTGACCATATTGAGAATTCTGATTCTATGATGCTTTCCTGTAGCGTTTTCAAAAGTGTTTCGCTGTTGGGATGAGCAAAGAAGAATTGCGAATACTAAACCATGCAAAGAAACTGTTGAATCCCACTGATGCCAAAGCAACGAATAACCGCCAGAAGAAACGGGTCTCTATTCAATCAATTCCGTCGACTGAATCATTACCGGTGGTTGTTGAACCTAAAGTCTCACCTGTTGATAGTGAAAAATTGATTCATATCTGTGTCAACTTACACAAGTCGACATTCAATTTCAAACCATCTCAAGAACTCGATGTAAAGAAATCGAACAATGACATACACATTTTACTTGTGTTTTTCTTTTAGGAAAAGCCAGATATTCGCTGGCAGAAAACAGATGAATTTAGTCAAAAAGGTATCATGCAATGCATTCAATTTTGCATGCAAATGCCTGGCAATGATGAATTATCGATTCAAGAACGTGCACATTTACTTAAATTAGGTGTTCATGGTGTAGCCTTACTTCGTCTCGCCTATCGTTATGAACCTGAAGAAGATAAATTATATTTATCCAACGGTATAACACTTGATGAGAACACTCTTATGACCCAAGGTTTTGGTTGTTATGGTCATACATTCTTTCAATTTTGTCGAATATTCAGTCGATTAGAATTGACTGTTGAAGAATTCGTTCTTCTTTGTTGTATCGTATTTTTTAGCCATGGTAATTGGATGACAACTATGATCAAAATAATAATCAGGACGGTTTTCTTTTCAATTTAGATCGAATTGAAGGCGAAGCAACAAGAAATAAAGTCGAACAAATCCAAACGCGATATTGTGAAGCAGAAAGGTCATACATCGCGAAAAATCGTTCCAATGATCAAATGCAGTTTTCGAAACTACTCCTCTTGCTTTCGAAATTACGAGCTTTAGATGCTTTAAGTATGTCGAACATTTCTACCCGATTAGTTCATTTTCACCCTCAACTTTCTAGTCGCTGAACGTCTTCTTTGCTTGCAAATGAACACTGATGGACAAGTACAAAAATGCATTTTCGAAGTACTTCATCGAGAAGCAACGAACATTGTCGTGGTAAGTTGCGATTATTAACAATGACGATCTCTATCGCTATTTCGAAGGACATGGAAATCGATTATCTTGATGCCATCGATACCAAACCCGATTATACTTGGCTTGATTATCCATCGAATTCTTCTTCCATCGCATCACAAGCGGTCACAAACAATAATTAACGTCAGATAAGTTGCCGGTGCTGTGCCATTGTGCTCGAATGTTGCTCAATCGATTCGGATGATATGTTTCTGTTGCACATTTGTCAAATAGAATTTCTGTGTAGATGTCTTATATATTTTCAACGGTGACTTCTTGCTGGTTGGTTTTTTTAAATATCTAATTATTGTCTTCAGTATTATATAGTTCATCATCAGGGTTTCTTTTTCTGTTACTCTTCTTATATGTTGTCCGTCCAGTATTGGAGTTTGCTTTCTACAATGCAATTTTGTCGCTTGATTTTTTAAAAATATCACTCTGTGCTATACATACATATATATCACTGTCATTTTTGCAATATGTAAATGATAACAAGAATCTAATTTGCGTTTTCTTTATCGTTGTTGAAACAGAATGTATGAAGTTCTTTTTTATATATTGTATATAAAGAAAAATCATGTTTGACTGTCGATACTTGTCTTATAGAACACACCGCTCGGATACGACAAACTGAAAATATTTTAATTCGACATGACTGTTTATTTTTTACGAATAGAAAAAATCTTGGTAATATGTTTCATTGGAAACAGTGATATTTAAGTAGCTGTTTGCAAGTATTGACCATTTTGCCGCGATGATGCTCGTTGTCTACTACTCGATGATGAACGTCTCGTCGAAGTGACTGAAGCGATTTGACCACCATACGGAAGTGAAAGCGGTGGAAGCATCAACATTCCGTTTTGTGTAGTTGAACTATTTTATTGAATAGAGAACAAATATTATCTACCAAGAAATATTGTTTCTACTTACGATCGTTTCGAACTATGACTACGATTTCTTCTTGGTTTTAATAACTCATACGTAACTCCATAATCCATTCCATATGCTTCCCATGGTTCTACGACACGCAATGCTGTTACACGCGTATAGTAACCAGATGGAATCTCTAATGGCTAGAAGGAGAGTACAACTGATTTGATAAATTAAGCTTAGAGAATGTCGTTTACTCCATCCAGTGCTTTGTTAACACCACTTGTATCAAAATATGGGCCTAAGTCGTTGTATACATAGGGTTCATGTGCTCGACTAGAATACAAAGAGAAGATAGTTAGAAAGAAGAGAAGTTTATAAACGGAACTGTTTTGGTCGATGTAATTTGGAAGATTGCTCTCGAATTTTTTCTTTCAAACGACGTAGTTCATTTTGAACATAATCTTGAGGGTATTGATCAAGTGGTTGAAGAGTTAATTTTTGTTCCTTTGTATTGAAACGAATATTCGAAAGAAAACTAAAGAATACATGTTGGCTCTTTGTTTTTCATTATTCAATCTTTACTTATAAACTTCTTCTCCTTTAGTTATTTGAATTCGTCGTAAGTGCCAACTATTCTTCTTATCGAGTCCCGAACATTCAATAGTAATTCGTTTGATTCTACCCACATCCGTCGTTCGAGATATGAACTCATCGGTTGCTTTCGACTGAAATGGTGTAGCACCACTCTTGGTCGTCTCTAATGGAATGATTACAATTCCATGTTCGCCGCGAATTTTAACATTGACTGTTCCATGAAATGTTCGTTCACCTGTGCCAACTTTAATCTTATAAACAGCATCTGAAAACAAAGAAGAAGACAGTGCAGAGCTGAATGTTCATTCGAAGTTTCTTATCTTCTACCATGCCGTTTTTTCGTGTGAGGTCTAGCTGATTGAGATCTTGTCATTTGAAAACGACAGAAAGTAAATATGTATAGGTATTTTTTGCTACTGACTAGGCGATTTTTTCCTCTTTGTCTTGTGTTTTTTTAGGAAGAGAAAAAAAGAAACTGTCCTGTGTGATGCACTCTTGACAACACGCATTTTATAGTTTTATTTACCTTTTCTTTCAACGTCAGAAGTGGATGTTAATGTCGCTAACGAAGAAATTAAGTTACATCAAATCGCTTAAAACAAGAGTGTACTTACGTTCATCCATAGGTGGGTCATCTGATGATGGAGCGAATTCCAGTTCGGTGTTTGGTTCGATTGTACGTTTAATATTGAAGCTAGAAAATTTGATCACAGCATACTTTCAAGGTCGCTCACTCGAAGAAATAGTTTAACTACTAAAGGCGATCGTGTCAGAGAAAATCTTTCTTAGTCATATTTCTAATGATTAAAGAAAACATGGAGTAGTGCGAACTGCATGACTGTTGTTGTCTGATTACATAAAAGCGTATCGAGTAGACAACGTGTTGTCTACCATGTTTAATGAGTAGGATTGATTATTATTGACAGAGTAGAAGTCGGAAAAAGGGTGATAGGGTGCTAATCAGATGTGTCAGATCTAGAGATGAATTCAAGACCTAATGACTTACATTGTTGTTTCATCTCCTCGTTTGATAATGATACGATCCAGATTGGAAAATTTTGTATGTTTACTACCATTTTGCTCCAGAGTTATTTTTGTGATCTGTTTTCAAACGAATTCCGAAGGGAAAAATTCAATATAATTTTGAAGAAATGAAACAAACCTGTCCAACGTCGGTCGCTTGCAGATCGATTTCACCAGCCAAATTCTTTCGAAGCACTATTCTTTTTGTTTGACCGTTCGATCCAAATATGACCATGTGAAGCTGGGATTCATCGTCATCATCGTCGTCACCAAGTGATCGCTGTTGTAATGTACCATATTGTACCAAAACTTTGTATGTTGTTTCTTAAATTAGAAAAATCAATTGTTGGATTCTGTACTTGACGTACAAAATATACCTTGAACTTCTAATTTGTCTGTCATGGAACTACGTTTCGAAGAATTAGAACTCGGTGGTGCTTCTAGAAAATAATGGAGAATAGGATTTTAGAAGAATCTTTTTAGTTACCTGGTAAAGACGGCGTTAGATCGATGTACGGCATGGATAAGTCGAGTGTTGTATCAGCAATAAAACTTAAATAAATATTGAACTTTCTGTCGATTGGTTGATAGCAGTTTAGACATACTTATAGAGTTCTGATCCGTTTTGAAGAATTTTTACGGCATCTAAGTGCCACATTGGACGGAGACCTTTTCCATCTTGTCCAATGTTTATCTTATGAATCTAAAAGTGAACGTAGACTTGCTGGAAGATTTCACTTCGTAAATGTACCTTTCCAACATCAACAAGTTCCATTTCAAATTCACTCGTTTGACCTTGTCGAAACAAAGATTCCGAATCTTCATTAGGTTTAATTAATTGAAACTTTTTTGTTTGTCCTTTTTCGCCGTAAATGGTCATAAACACACCAGAATCTGTACTTGAATCTTCTTCCGAACTGGTTATGACAGTAATTTTATAAACAACTTGATTTGAAAGAACACATGTGACACTGCAATTTTAAAACTAAAATTTTCTTTACCTTCTTTTGACAGTGAGTCTTCAGGGAATAGATCGACAAAGTTGTTATCTTTTGCTTTCAAACACCGATCGGCTTTGAATCTGAACACAAAGAGTGATCGCAAAAAGTAATCGGCTAGCATAACAACTTACGTGTATTGTTCATCTTTCTTTTCGATTCGTACTGCTTCGAGAGACCATTGTTGGTCTTCTTCTTGTCCATCATGTCCAATATTGATCTTTTTTATCTAAGTCGAATACATTTGGCTCTGTTATTTGTATATTCTCATAAGCAATAACTTACTTTTCCGACGTCAGTGGCTTTCAAATCAAATTGTAATTGACTATTCTGCTCAAATCTAGCTTTTGAACCGTCCATCGTTTGCGTTAAAGCGAAGTTTTTGGTCACATTACTTTCGCCATAGATGCATAAGATTACATTACTACCGATACCAGATTCACCAGTGGTGATAGTTGTTTTATAGGTAATATCTGTTGAAAGATAGGATCACATAATGTAAACGTCACATTTTCTTAGCACATTCGACAGAAATCTGGGGATTTGTCAGAGATTATCTGATCCCCTAGGAACCGAACTACGAGATTCTCTTACCGTCATGATTCGCTTCCGGTTTAATCGTAATCCAACTAAAATCTTGACCTAATCGGCTTGATAGCCAACATCGTCCTTGAAAACTACAGAAAAAGGATTTCTTTTTCTTTTTGCACGATTCTTTCACATACTGATAAACTGTTTTTTTATATTTGATCTCAACAGTATCCAGCATCCAAGCAAATCGTTGGTCGGGGTCATCGAAACCAATGGTAAGACTTTCAATCTAAGATTAGATATGCAAATGAATACAATGTCCGATATTTGTTTATCACCTGTCCAATATCAGCATGTTTTATTTCAAATTGATCTGTTTTTCCTTGTTGAAAGACCTTCTGCTGCTCGTCTGATTTCCAATGTTCCTTCAATAACACTTTCTCAACTTCGCCATTTGCTCCTCGAATACTCATTTGCACGTTTTCTGCTATTTCGTTGTGAGGAACATCTCCGGTTCGTACAGTCACCATATACATTGAAGCTGTTTGAGAAATAAAAAACATATGAGCATTAAGGAATTCACAATTTATGAAATTACGTGGCGGTGATGGTACGCGTCGTGTCAATTCAACAAATAATTTCTTATCATCTTTCGTCGGACTCAGCCATCTATTTGCTATAAATCTAAAAGAGAATTTTTGTGAAATAAAACAATCAATAGAAAAACAAGAACGAACTGCTGTTGTTCAGAATCGGTTTGCACTTTGACAGTTTGTAAAAACCAATCATTCACTGTTCCTAAACCTTCATGTCCAATTATGATCTTCTCAATCTAAATCAAACATTCGAATTTTGATCATCACTTTAAATTCTTGTCGAGCTCACCTGACCAACATTGTTACTATCAACGTTAAATTTCGCTTGAGAATTTTTCGTAAACGAACTGTTTTTCGATTCTAAGAAGATCTTCGGTGTTGTCGACACTGTTCCAAAGATTTGTATGTATACCGGTGAATCCAATGGTTCCATCTGTTCACTGCCTGTGTAAACTTCAATGTTATAATTGGCAGCTAAAATGGAACACAAACGTCATTTGAAAGTTCAAGCTTATTCAACGAATCACTCACCTGGCTGTTCTGTACCAAACAATTCCACCGATAGTTTCCGATCGTGTTTCGTTTCATCTAACCACCGATTGACAAAGAATCTAAATCAATATTTCAATCCGGGATATCGTCCATTAACAATATACCTGATGAGAAAATCATGAACGGACACATCAACGTAATCAACGTACCATCCACTGTCTTTGTTTTCATGTCGCAGAACGATTCGTTGCGGCTTACCGACGTCAATAGCTTGAATTTGAAACTTTCTTGTCGATTCTTGTGAAAAGAACTTTTCGTTTGACGATGTTTTCAGAAGTATATCTTCCGTCTGTCGATTATCGCGGCCAAATATTTTCAAATAAACCGGGCCATTAGTACCGGAATTGCGGTAATTACCCGTTTTTACAGTAATCGTATATTCAATTTCTATTTTTGAACGAAAGAATATTATTTAAAAAGTATATTATTAGATATGTTTCTCAACTAGAAGGATCGGCAGGTTTCATAACGGGATTGATTGGTCGAAGTTTTTCTCCCGATGATGAATCAGGTATTTTGTCTAAAATTGTCGAATTCTTAGTGATAACCTTAATTATAGTTCACATACCCACTGGTTGTGGTGGTTTCGCATTTGTACTGGCTTTTCCTGTACAGCAAGGCATGATTAACGTGATAAGTAAAGAGTTTTTCCTTCTTTTGTCGTGTCTGACGATTCGATGATTAAACTGTAAAACTCACTCGACTAGTCGTTTTCTTTCTATTTCTCCGCGTCGTATCACCTTTATGGATGACAACCACTTTGAATTACATGCAGAGAATGTCTTCTCTCATTTGTTTTTTGAGTTCGTTGGCTTGACAATATATAATTCTATTATGTTTGGTGTAAAACAAAGTCAAACGACTGATAACACAACGTATCAGTTAATTCTTTTTCATTTCTCTTCTTTCTATGTAAATCAACATCATCATTCTACTATTTACGAACAAATCGATTACGACCGTTCTACAAATATTCATGTAGGAACTTTTCCTGTAATCAGATTCAGATATATGTAAAATAAAATGAAAAGATATATTTAGCAGAGATAAATATAGCAACACATCACATAAATTAGAAAAGAATCCGTTACCATGTCAACTGCAAGATTAGTTTAAAATCTACAGCACAAACGTAATTTCTTATCATCCTGAGCGATTGGTTAGAAATCATAATCAAATTTATCATGTAAAAACAAAGCAGACATGCAAGACATTATGAATTGATTAGATACAGAATCTCAGCAAATGCTTTTAAGATTCTCTGTTCGAAATAAATGGACGCTGACATATCGAGAAGTCGATATTCGAACATTGTCAAACAGTTCTTTTCTTCAGTATTGGCAAAGAGTAATAATAGTTGAATGCATGAATCAATCATCATATCAGCTGAATGATTGACTGGCATTGTCGACGATGCGTTGTAGTAGGATGCTAAGGTTGCGATCAGATACTGTTGTTGATTGTATTCATAGAATTCCAAGTAATTGAAGATCAATTCAATACAAATGATTTGCGAAGAGAAATATTCGACTAACGATCGATTTCGTTTGCATAGAGAACAGATGATGATTAAACAGTATTCACGATTGGTATCTTCCTGCTTAATCGAATTCATTAAAGATAGAAGTGTGCGACTGAAAGTTTGCATTTCATCCCAGTTCAGATCGAGTAAAATGAAATCAACATTGCTTTCGTTTGTGCACAATTTCGCAAAGATTTGTAAGGTAATTTCACGTGGAGATACGTGAATTTTCTTGTTTGTCATTTGCTCTTCCATGTTCATCGAAATAAATGTTTCATCTGCAAATGATAATGCACATAAAATCCAATGAATGAGCGTATGAACTAATCGAAATCGTGTTGTCGAATGATAATGTTGAAGTTCAATAAATGTTGAGAGATTGGCTAATGTAACAAATGTATTATCCAGAAGATACATAAAATGCTGTTGACTATCAGCTTTCGAACAAGTCAATGGGTCATCTAGCAGACAATTGGACTCATTCAGTGATTGTGTATGCGAACAATCAAATAATTGATGCATTGTTTCATGATGACAATTTAACACTTCTAGGAGAATATCGATAAAATATCGATCATTAGCTAAATAGTCGTTTTCTTCAATAAATGATAAATTTCGTACTATTGTTGATAAACACGAACATCGGATCATCAATGAGTGGGAGCGATCAATAGAAATCATATACTGATGGTTAGTTGATTGTGTCATCAACCGTTTGAGTACATAGCGATGTGTACCGAAGAAGAGTCTTTCTAAATGTTGTTCGTTTGATATAGGACCAATGACACCCTCATCGATCCGTAATTTCAATTGAAGAAACCAATCCATGCAAGAACCATTTGGCGGCGAGAGTTGTACAAACGATTGATGAAACAATTCATGTAGACAAGCTTATATACAAACGGATAGCTATTTGTGTTAGAAAATGATCAAAGTTTTACCGACGTATTGCTCCATGATGGCATTGAATAAACCCGGCAGCGATTTTAGATGAAAGTAACAGGCTGTGCGCGGTTCACTGAGCAAAATAAGAAGCGTATCTAAATGTTTGTTCATATCCGCCAACCAACCAGTACGGAGAATAAAGGCGAGATGTTGAAAATCAGTCAGACATAATGATTGCATTGGAATGCGAGATGAAGGGATGTCAATAGGTAGTGGCAAATGCTTTTTTGTTTCGTCAGGATCGTGCGGTGTTTGGAATTGTTGTTTACTGATCTACGCAAAATAATAAGCTACCATCAGGAAGCAGGTGTTTGTGAACAAACTTTTACAGGTGTTGATGCACAAATATTACCACGCTTTCTCTTCTTAACCTAAATCTCAAGTGAAGAATAAGATGATTTTTTGATTTTACACGTGAACTGAACTGTATGTGGCATTTCAGCCATTTCCATCACGGAACGTGGATCAATTCCAGCTCGATCAAAACGACATTCGTATGCTAGTAAACCTAATCGAATGTAATTACGTTTAACACTGTACGCAGCTGAACCTAATAGAAATCAACGAGACAAAATGTATCGAACTTTTCCCGTAGTATTCCTTGCCCGAATCGCCAAAACCTAAGATATTCGAGATCTCTTTCCAACCACGATTCGTCGTAATTTCCAAATAGCCTTGTCTTTCTTGAACGAGATTATGTAGTTTGTACAAATCAAGCATTTGATTCGTGATTGTCGGATATGATTGACAGGAAATAGTCTGCTCGTTCCAAATATTTTGCAAACGTTGACAAAACAACGGTCGGTCCTAGAGATACGTTCATATCTTCGCAAGAGAATCAATTACAATCATTTCCTTACTGATTCATTGCCAAATTTCAACAATCGATCGAAGATTTCCATCGTCATTTTCTCACGTTCCATATCAAATAGAATCAATCGACGCGATCGAATGTTACGCGCTTAAATTTAATTAAGTCAATCCATCAAGTCTAACACTTTTTGATGCTGAGAAAAAAAAGAGAAACATTGTTGACATGATTAATTCGTTGAAAACTCGTCGAGCTAAGTCGACTTTATCCTTTCATTTATAATTCATGAATGTCAAAATAATCAATGCTGAAGTAGATCAAGAAACGAAGATATGAGAACATCTTTAGTAGTAGATTACAATGAAACTATTCGTGTTACATTTCCGAATGAAGTAGTTCAAACTTTATTTCGTATATCAAAGCCATTGTCGGCTCTCGAAAGACTCTCTCAAGACTAACAGAACAAATTCACTCTTCTACAGTGAATTTATCGATTTCGACTATGGCAAATACCTGTTTTTTCTCCAGTTGCTCCTTTCTAATAAGTATCTCATTGAACATTCTTCTACTATGTATTCTCGTTCGCGAGCGGTTATACGAACGAATTCATTGCGTATGTCCTATTTATCAAGTGCACCCTCCGGCTCATCCGAAAGGTTCCTATTCGAAATCGTCACTATTGATAATTTGAGTATTTCTCTATCACTTATTCGATAACCTTTTTGGCTATATTCATCAGGATCACATAGCAGGTCAACACTACTTGATTCACATATCAGATTTTGCTTGTAAGTTCTTGACGTATTTTGCAAAGATGAATTTGCTTCTGATAACATGACTTATGATCTTCTTAATCCTCGATCAGTTAATCGTCTTGAAGAATTCTCATCGCGGTAATTCTTATTGGAGTCGGAGTTTGAATTACACCAATACGATGTATTCGACGGTTTTCCTGATATTTATTTTAAGTAAGCTCAATGTTTACCCCATTGAAGTTCTGAAGTATCAAAGAAAGAAGATTTTCAAGATTATCTTCAGGGTAAAATACAGGAAAACTTCTTTCCTTTCTCTCTTGATAATAGCTTCTAAATATAGAGAAAAGCATTGAAGTATGTTCTATGACATTAGACAAGACCAGTAAACAATTATTAAATGCAACTAATTATTCCTATAATCTACTTGGAATTTCAATACCATGTTTAATTATCTTTTTTCATATCTGTTTTAATCGGATGTCAACGAAAGAAAACGAACAAAAAGCAGACATCTCGCAAATCCATCGCTGCAGCGATGGACTTAATTATTCATCTACCATCGAGAATCAGCGATCTTTTGCTGATGTCGTTATCACCCTATTCGATATTTTATTTGCATATCATACATTTCAATCATCAGTCGCAATCATCTCTTACGCTTTCCTATGCATACAGATGTTTCATTTGTCTCCTTATATCAGGTAGATATCGGTATCATGTGAAGAATCTTTTGTGTTTGTTAATCAACTATAAATATGTCGCTCAACATGAATATTATCGTCAACGACGTTATTTACACAGCGAAAACTTTCATAAGCAACATTCTATCAGAAAATCTTCGTCATTAAGAACACCTGTAGATTTAACCGGATTTTCTCATAAATAGATTTTTACCATGTCATATCACTCGTTCTTCATTTTCCTCCCTTCTTTTCAGGCGGCTTGTAAGCAGTTTTTTTTCATCGTTTTCTTCTCTTTCTCTATCATCCTCTTACGCTTCCCTTTTATAAACTGAAGAGCGAGCTTTATTCTAATCTAACAGAAGATTAATTGTTAGTCAATTTCTTCGGCACTATTTACTGTTCGAAGATTGCATTAAAAGCAGGCGAAGGAGAAAGAGAAAGATGTTAACCTATTGTTTGTAAGTTACACAAAGAATTCATTTCTTGTATGCGTCCTCATTGATTTTTCTTCTGTTGATGAGTTAAGATCTATTTCTCTATTGTTCTTCTTTGCTTTTTCTTCACATCGATTGTTTTTCCAACAGCAAGGAAGTTCTTAACTCCGCCTTCCAATAAAAACAATTCATGTCGCTATAATTTTTCTGAAAGAACATATTGAATACGACCTTATTTGACCTTTAATACAAAGCAACAGTTTTCACGTCCTGGTACCCGTTCAAAAACGTTTCATAAATTGTTTTCGCACACACATTAGTCAAACCAAAACATGCCTTTTCTTCCAATCCAAATGAACTATTTTCATTTCTCTTTTTCAGATATGACAAACGACACCACTTTATAATAGACTCTTGTCACGACTAACTAACTTTCTTTTACAATGTTGTCGATTATGATTGATCAAAAGTAAATTGTGCATGTTAAAGAGAAAACTTCGAAGTTGACATTTATTGATGCTGTTATCGTTAAATTCAACAGCACAGTCTTCTTGATTCGAATTCTAATCGACGATTTTTTCATCGAACATTAGTAATCCTATTTGTAGATATTCAAGTATTTCTTCTTCTTGCCGCACATAAGTTAAATGAAGCACGAATTCATGTTTTCATAGGAACTAAATCCTCTGTTCTTCTCTGACAAACACATTGTTAAAAAGAGAAAAGGAACGCCGCGTTTTCTCCTTCAAACCAATCGTCGTTCACACAATTTAACATCGATGATGAATGCTACGACTTCTACTCCAACACAATCGACTGCATCTATTGATTACACTGCACTAGGAAATCGAATCGGCACAGTCATCTATTCAATTATCTATAGTTTAGGCTTTACTGGAAATGTGTTTGCTCTTCTGACATTTTCTAGTCATCGCATGCGACAAATATCCAGTAGTATCTTTCTTCTGATTCTTTCAATTAGTGATTCAATAGCGCTTATTGCGTCGTTATGGTTCTTCTTGGCCGACGCCTTTTCCATTCAATTACAAAATTATTCGGCGCTTGCTTGTCGTTTTCGAACTTTTTTCGGGTATGTTTTCATGGATCTTTCGTCCTGGTGCATTGCCGGCTTGGCAATTGACCGATTTCTACGAACGGAAATACCTCTGCGCGCGAAACTTCTGTGTACACCACGAAATGCTCTAATTGCGATACTTATTTTCTTTTTTCTCCTGTGCGGTATCAATGGACACTATTTTTCGGCTGGCATCGGACAAGAACGAGGCGGTAATCGAACGACAGCTCACTGTTTGGAAAATCGCGATGAGTATCCGAATTATTACTTTTTCTATAAAGTCATTTGGCCAAAAATCGATATGATCGTGTTTTGTTTCCTTCCGGGATGCATTATGATCTTTTGCAACATTCGAATTGTTTGTATTCTTCGACGACAACGTCACCATTTCGAAAGTCTTCGAAGTGGAAGCGTGTCAACGAAAATCACGAATATTCAACAAACATTACATGGGAGCATCTCGTTAAGAAAAAGCCCATCGCATCGGAAAGCATTCGAACGACAAATGTCATTAATGATGTCTTCATGTGTTCTCGTCTTTCTATGTACAACTGTGCCTGTCACTGTTTATTTGATTTTTCTTGAACAAATCAACCGCGATCAGCAGAATCCTGTTCCAGATACTCCTCTCTATGTATTTATATTTCGCATGCTTCGTGCGCTCATGTACATTCATTTCGGCTGTAATTTTTATCTCTATTGTTTAACAAGTCGAATCTTTCGCGGTGAATTCATACGAGTGATTACATGTCGACGAATCATTCTCAATAAAAGCCATGATCTGGCGACAAGTTTTGCTGTCAATAGGAGTATCGATGCTTCAAATTTGTAGGACGCAAGTCAAACGAACTGGCCATATCGTTAGGCATTCGAACCACTGTTATATGTTGTTTATTTCAAATAAATGAATATCGTTTTTTTGCCAATTTACACTTTGTGGAAAAATTTGAGATTTCTCCGGCGTATTAACATGCACTTTTCGCACTTCACATTTGGAAAATATATTAATTATTAACATTCGTCAGCGATATTTCCATTGGTTTAAACCCAAGTATTCCTATCATGTTATATTTAGTTGAATGATGAATAAAATATCTTTGAGACGTGAAACAAGCTTGTCAAACAAATGAGCCTTAGCATGATGACAGATCATTCAGTCGAAGAAAGTATCATACAGATTTACACAAAAGAATATATTCTTTTTTCCGCTACTTTAAAGTGAAAAACATGAATATTACATTGAAGGAAATGATTTCATTCAAGAGGGAAGATACTCAATCAACATGTCAATAGCTTTTCTTTTCTTTTCATTCGAAAGGAATTTAAATTATTCAAGTCTCAATCAATGATTCATATTCCAGAAGATATCCCATCAAGTTCTGGAATATGATCATACGCATCTACGATTAAGATAGTGAATTGATGTTCTATGAAACTCGTCTCAGTAGGCTGATAAATAACACATTTATATTTCCCGCCTATAATCATCTGTGATGTCATCCAAACGAGGTTATTTAGTTCATTTTGCACGGATATTCTTCGCTAGTTTATTACTTCTTGCATGTTCATCATTGACGCATGTCTGGAACGCATATCAGCCATTGCATCTCGCCTTTCAAATACAGCAATGTCAATCGAGTTTATCGAATCAAAAAGGTCTGTCCGCGAATATTTGGTCATGGTTAACTAGTTTTCAACTAAGCAAAATTTTACCAACATTTTCATTTCTCTCAACGTCAAGCTCATCGAAATGTCTATCTCATAGTGAACTAACTTATCCACTGAATATTCATCAGTATATTCAATGGATTCGTTCAATGATAGTTGTGTATCTCGTGTATCATCTGGTATGTTTGTTCCTTTTTCATGCACACATGAAACGACTGGAAGAGAAGCAACGGTATTATGGTCGTCGCTATCGACAAGAGGAAAAAGTCCGATGTTCAAAACGTTTATTGAAAACATAAAACAAAGACTAACATTTTGTTTTAGTCATTTTTTTTTCTCTTTTCATCATTTGATTTATTTCGCTTTTCGCGCATTCAATCGTGCTTCATCATACATTTTTCGTATGTCAGCGGTAAAACGATCATAACACAGAACACCATTCTCATCGAAATAATTTCCAATCGATTTTTTTAGGGATTTTGATGTCTTATCTGTTCCATCATTGTAGTCCAAAGTTAACTGATATTTATCATCATATCTAAATGAAATTGGATCTTGTCGAGAGATGTAAACAACGAGTGTCTGACGTACTTTTTCAATTTCGATGAAACCGTACAGCGAGAAACAGGATCAACACCAGCTCGATCGACTAAATTCGTTTCCGTTAAGTTCGAAACATCAAAAAGCAATACAGAAACTATTTACCGAGTTTACCAGCGTAGAATTTACCACGTTCGATGAATTGCATATAGAATGTCAGAATGCCCATTAAAATAAAGTAGCTAAAGAATATGATGTTCAGTATCTGATCCATGGGTTTTCAACGATGACGAAGATACACGCTGGTTTTTGTCTACTTACGCTATGACGCAAAGAATGAGTATTGAACGTGATTTGGGAAATGGATTTAACCAATCATAAATCAAAGCATAACCCGAAAATAGACATGCAATAAACGAGATATAGAGACGGCCATCCATTAGTTTGTAGTCTTCAGCGAAATTCAATGTCTCTTTGAAATACTAATCATATCAAGATGAATTGGTCATTACTTGAACATTCGCATGTTTCTTACTTTCTTGCAAGCATCGTCAAGTGCATTTTTAACTGCATTCGTTTCCCATTTATTAACTTTGATGGGCTTGTCAGTTGTCGTAACCCCTGCTGCCTGGAAGAAGAATGAAAGAAGAGAATTGTGGTTAAGAAGTTACCAAGAGACCGGATCTTACAGTATCGCTCATTGTAATTAATCTAGAAATATGAAAGAAAAAGATGATTCTTGATGATTTTGATAAGAAAAGAAAAATATCCGATATGTTTATTATTCTACAGGGAAATAATCTCTATCTGACATGGTTAGATTAAATGGATCTGTTCATTCGTTTAGTTTTCAGCATCTTCGATCTTTGGAGCCAAATAGAAGCGAACATGACCCATTTCGGCGATTTTGAATTCGCACACTAAAATAGATATAAACTTGTAGGATTGCTATTCGAACATAGATATACACGTACTTAATGGCGTATCTTCGGAAAGACTCAAACCAACTTGGGGTGAAAGTGGTGCAGCTTTACAAAACATGCTCAAGTATCGTACAGCAAATGTTAATGCAACTGCTTCTTTCATTTCAATAATAACTGCTTCTTCTTCCTTTTCAATGTTGGTCGTTTGAACAAGACGAATACTTCCTACAGTGTATTAGTGAGAAAAAGAAATAACGAAGATAATTCTGTTGGTTATCATTACCTTGACCAAGATCACCTTTGGCAGAGAATTTCACACCTTCTTTCGTTGTGCATATAAGAACTGAGTCGCCCATAATGCTCATATCTCGACAGATACGAGAAAATTCACTGCTGGGCATCTTAATTGCGCATGAATAGTCTGTATCTGGAATGCCTAAATGTTCACTATCCAAATCCATCAAACGTAACTCATAATCGGCGAATTTATCTTGATCTAAAGGCAATGTTGAATGATACTTTATCCCAGCGACGAAAGTCTCCTTACTTTGTGATTCCATTGCAATAATAATCGAATCCGAGTCATCGTTCACACGGATGGTTAACGAATCATCTTTACCCATCGTTTTCAATACTTTTGACATACTAAAATCAATGTTCATTCCTATACTAATTTCATAAAAGTCTTCTCCTTAGTACCTGACAAGACTGATACCAAGACTCATATTTCGATCGCATCGATATGATTCAAAACCTTCACTTCGCATTACGAGTGAAACTAATGCCACGTGAGAACTATCCATGGCTTGTAGAGTTATACCATTACCACTGCATTCCCACGTGGCTTCATTGACTAGTTCCCGGAGACCTTCAATAACTTTAGCAAAGATTGAACCGTGTAAAAGCCGAGCCTGAAGAATTGAAACAATAGAAGAGACAAACAGCCAGTACTGTGGCACGTACTTCGAACATAATTAATATTTAAATTATCTGAGATATGTGCTGTTATATCGATAGATTATCGATGAAAATGCCGATCTATTTCTTTGTATCTTTGTATGTGTGCTGTGTCTTATTGTGAATCGGTTTGATGCGGCAGACCAATCAAATATATGCACCTATTCTCAAGTACTAGAGGCCGTAAGTTTCTATTCCATCAAAACCTGGTTTTGTTTTCTCATATAAAAAATCGCTCTCATAACAACAATGATTTCTACTAAAACTCTATCAATTAGATTATTATTTTTACAATTGGAAAAAAAATGTGATCAGTTCTTTGTTCTTGTCGAAGTTCGAATATTACTAAACCGACGCGTGAGAACTGATGATGGTAGACATTGTTGAGTAGCCACATTGAATCGCACACTACGCTTTTTTACCGTTCTTGCGAACTGAAAAGATAGAACGCATTTACAGAAACATATTTTCCAAACCAACGACGAACATTATCTACGAGAAATTGATTCGCTTCAGTGATAACATTTCGATTTGCCGGATGTAGATTCACTCGAATATCAGTTAACGGCGGTACTGGCCGATTCTCTGATTGAATAGCTCGGTGTGACACGTATTTAGAAAGCAATTGTAGATAATAAAATGAAAGGCAGAATTTCTTTCCGATATCGTAAATGAATGGAAACAGCAATGTTGAAGTGCCCGCTTTCATACCATCTTTTGTCGTTAAATGTACTAATCTATGAAAATCTGCATGTAGAAGATCATGAACTAAGAATAAATTACTTGGTATTGATAAGTAGCGTATGCAGAGCTAGATGGATGTTTCGTGTGATTATGTAGACTTGTTCTTCATCCATTTCGAGACGTTGAAGTTTACCGGATTGATGTAGTGAGACTTGGGAAGGCGAAGATTTTTCTTGCTTCTTAGAAGTTTTAACTTGAGTCTTTTGAGAATCACTCTCGGATTGATATCCAGGTAATTGTTGGTTGTTATTCTTCGATTTGTACCTAGGAAATCGGAAAGAAGTTAGAAAACGAAGTTATTTCTGAGTACAAATCACCTGGTTTGATGTTTAGTGGCAGTGTTACACGTCGGATTTGCTTGTCCGTCGGTATTTCCATTGAACGTTGCTGCCATTTCCAGATCATCAAGGTGACACTGGAGCTTGCCAACACTCGACTCAAGTAGTGGGACTGTTTGGAATATCAAATGAGGATAATGCTGAATGGTATGCGCAATGTAGCGAACTTCATGTTTGAATCTATTCTCATCCAGAAAATGAAATCGAAATTTACTCGAAAATTTAATCTACCGGTACATTATCTTTCGTAATTCTTTGTGCAATTCAATAACATCAGGTTCAACCGAGAGATGATGTCGAGTCGCACACATGTATGGTGCACGAATTTTTAGCATTTCATCATCTTCATTCAACTGACTACGAAGACGTAGTCCATTGATAGCTGTGAGAAATCGATAGACGTAAAGAATGTTGATAACCAAACGAATGATTCGAGAAGAAAATTGAACGATATCAGTAAGAAAATTCAGAGATATGCGAGGATTTTGTTTCGGTGCACAACCTTCGAAAGATTGATGAATCATTTTTTAAAAAAGTCTCTTGCAAATTAAAGAAAAGATTGAGAAAAACAAGTCAGCGCTCTTTTAGATTTTATCGATAAATTTTGATAAAAACTATAACAACAGGATGATTTATCTATCACTGTTCATAATGCATCTGACTGTTAATTCACCTCGTCGGACGCATACAACAATGAATAATGGCCAAGATTTTCTTGACTAATGTTCATCATGTACTTGAGATATGGCTCGAAGAATGTACGCTTCTTGATGTGAACCTCGACATGCTTGCAAACGACGAGGAGAATCTCTCTAGGAGCATAAATAAAAAAAAAAGATGATGATTAGTTTTGAATCATATCAAATATACATGATCTTCTTCGGCAACGTATACAGGAGATGTATGTCCTTGATTCGTTGTACCGTTTTGTTGCTTACTCGATCCATGCCGACGTTTCTTTCGCTGAAAAAAACAATGAAGATATCGTCATGAGTAGAAATGTAAGGACAAACTTTTTCATGATTCGTTTCCGACTGTTTCACTGTCGATTCATTCGGTTGAGTTAGATTTAGTTGATTGAACTGATTGATCGTTTGATCAACTGTTCGTTTCATTCGATGTTGAACAACGTAATCGTAGGTCGATAGTCCATGATAGGCTAATATCATCAAAGTTAGTAAACTAAACCAGATCTTGTATACTTACACAAATATACATGAAATGCCAGAAGATACAAAGCTAATCCACAGATAACAAGTGTAAAGAAGGCGAGAATAGCTGTGATTACTTGAAATGCAACTAGTGATGATGGTATCATTAAGATCGCATATTGATCTAAAAACCGAGTTTAATTCTGAGGTCTTCTAGTTCAAAGACGAAATGTACCTGTGTTATAGAATGGTTTTAACTGGAGTGATGATGTAGTAGAAAATGATCCAATGAACTGAAGCAGACTATTGAGAAACATAAACAATGTACCCAAAACAATCAAACATAACATTGAAAAGAACAGTCGATAGTTTTTTCCACCCACACAGGTATTTAACCATATACAGTGATGATCAAATGAATAAACACATTTATTACACGATGAACAATGCTTGGCTCGTTCGCTAACATGTACAGAACAAACATGACAGTACAATTGAGTAATGACATGCGGATGCTGACGACGATCGAAATCGATTCTTGGTCCTTGACTTTTAAGAATAACTTGTTCATCAGCTGGATCAATACAGGATATAATAATAAAAACAATTGAAAATGGAAGAATAACAAGCGAAGAAAAAACAATATTTAGCCACTGCCATGGATGCGTTGGTACATTCACACATAATGTCAAATAATTCATTAGGATTAGAAATGGAATGACTATCAGAGAGAGTATTTGAAGCAAATGAAATGGCAGTGAAAAAGCATTTCGACGACGTCGACCCACGTGGGATGGATTATTCGAACCGGAACTGATAATCGCCATCCATAAATAATCAGACTAGCGAAAACAAAGATTTCGCTGGTACTTAATGCACGTTCATTCGGAATGAGTGAGTATGAAGAATTTGATCCGAGCAAATTATTCTGTATGACTTTTATTGCCCTTCTCTCTTGTCCTATGTTACCAAGATTGTCGTCAATGGTGATATAGAGAGTCGCTATCAGATGTCGCACGTGTACAATGAGAAGATGAGATGTGTATGGCGAAATCTAACTATCACCATGAGCTCGTTTATGTTTTCTGTTGAAATTTCGTATGAAAAAAACTATTCGAACATCAACTCATCAAATGAGATACATGTAAAATGTACTAAAAAGACATGACTAGAAGGAGTGAGTTTATTTAGCGATTAAATCTTGATACGTTCAGAATTTGTATGAATGAAACCGAGACGAAGGTAAGTATCAATACCGATACGTGATACCTGTCGAAGAGTTAACGATCCACCGAAAAACTTCGAATAGAGGCGGCAAACAGGAAGGCCGAATCCATAGCCATACATTTGTTTCGATCTGAACAGAAAGATGAATCGAGCTTGAACCACAAACCTTCCATGATAACTTACGATTGAGTCATACGTTCTTGAAAATCGGCTAAGATATCGATATGTTTTTCCTCTTTCTCTTCTTTGGGAACATCACCTACGGGAAAGAATCAGATAGGAATATGTCGATGTCATCCGTCACCTTTCTTACCGCTAAACATATACGTGAATAGTTTATCATCGCTTGCGTCAATTCCACCTCCTTGATCTTTAACTGCGATGATAAAATTTTCATCAACAGGATTCGATGCGATCTCAATTGTACACAGTGGTGTATCACGATGTTTTTCAAAGTATTGCTTGACATGTTGAATGTTGCCCAATGAACATTTCGTGTGCTCAACAATTGCACGCATCGAATTTTTCAACAATTCACGCAGGATATATTCCACAATACTGGGGAAATAGGGAATGGATTCCTGCATAGAATTTTCTACTTGAATATACGGCACAACTGTATAGGTTTCAAAACATAATGAAGAAACATCTTTGATACATTGTTGAACTGCTTTCGCAGGTGAGAAATTCATACAAATAGCTCCACGCCATTCGGACTGTGCTTGTTGTTTATGTAATTCCATATAATGTTCAGCAAGTAAACGCATGGCCAAACGTACATGAAGAACATTATCCAAAAATTCCTTCATGGTTTCATAATTTTTGAAATATTTCTGTGCTTCACTACAGCCTGTTGATAATAATCCGATCACATCGTTGTTTTGTACAATAAATCGGTTGATTAATTCGTGGAATTTTTCTTCATCTTTCAATGTTTTAATTTGACGAAATTGTGCGAGACTTTCAAAAAGTTTCAGATAGCGTTCATGTAAAGCCAATAATGTTGGATTAACACCGGGAAGAAATGGAATCGATTGAAAATGGGACAAACAATGCGCAAGACGAACTAATAATTGATCATGAAGATCTCGTGCAGTTTGAATCATATCAACCGGCGTTGAATGTTCAGGTGAACAAGCATCGATCATACGATTCGGGTAACAGTATGAAATAGGTCGTTGAGAGTATTCGATCAGTTCATCGTGAGATGAAAATTTCGCTAATTGCTTAACTATACTGGAGAGACAGGCCGTACTTGGAGTTGAATTCGATGATCGAACTGTTGATGATAAGTAACGATAGACAGACATTGTAAGTACATAAAGAAAGGACAGGAAGTGACAATCGATTACATTGATTTGGGAAGACGATCTTGAAGAAACAGAATAGACACTATTCCTATTTGTTAGACGAGCAAGCATTAGATCGACCGAATCCAAAAGTTTTACAAGTAGATGGCGTTAGTACATTACAGACTATTTTTTGATATAGAATTAAGTTTATTTATTTATTCAATCTAATCGTAAGAGTATAACAAAAAGAAAAAAATAGATTTGTCCGCTGTGGAAAGTAATTGAAATCCGTATATAGATGAGGATAATAAATGAAATTGATTTAGTCGAAATTCGATTCCCCTAAAGTAATAAGACGAACAGTTTGATTTGTTGCAACGAGAAAGTTTTCTTCTTCTAATGCTCGGATGGCATCATCGAACATGTCACGCGTTATTCGTTCATCGCTTCGTTCACGAATATCATTAAATAATGTATCTTTCTTTATTGGACCTGAACTTAGTGTTGATTTACGTTCTTTCAAATAACGTTTCAACGTCTGAGCAAGATCAGCACGAAGACGACGTTCACCAGCGCTGATACCTGTTGTTAATATAGCCACATCAACACGGCCTGTCTTTGGATCAACTGCCTATAAGATAAAGAAAAGTTTTTACGGTAAACAGATCATGCATTGAGAAACCTACAGCCTGTTTCAGTGCTTCACGATAGAGCCTAGAGAAATAATATGAAAGTTTATTATTAACGAAATCAAGACCGTTTGTTGTATTTACCGTTTTGCTTCTTCAACGTCAAGTTCTTCAACTTTATCCGAAAGTCGTACTTTCGCATGTGCTTCAGCTAGACGAATTAGAGACTCTAACTGTCGTGGATATGCCGATATTTGTCCTTTTCCACTTCCTACTTTACGCATTTCCACATATCTAAAAGAAAACTTTTCATTGTCCATTCTATTCTATTCTACGCATGTATTGAAATACTTACGAACTAACGAGTAGTTTACCAGCAGCTTCAGTTAATAATGGACTAACAAAGGTACGTGCATAGGAAATGTAATCTCGAAGTAAATCCGTATCCTAAAACAGTCGATCAGGACATATGTGAAGTTTAAAAGACAAAGAACTCACCATTGCCTCATGGTCGTTTTCACCTTCTTTTCCATATTGATACCACGAAGCAAGATGTTGTGCTAAGCGTCGATCGTAGGCTTCATCTTGTGGATCGAGTAAAAGAAAGATTAAATCGAAGCGAGAAAGTAATGTTGGTGGTAATTGGATATTGTCAATGATCGTCTTCGACTTGTTCCATTGAGATTCAATTGGATTAGCTGCAGCTAAGATGGATGTTCGAGCATTTAATGTACAAATAATACCGGCTTTTGCAATTGATAAGGTTTGTTGCTCCTAGCATGGAAAAAGAATTGTTATCCGATCGATGAAGAAGAGACTGCTTACCATCACTTCGTGAAGGATAGAACGAGCACTTTCGCTCATCTTATCAAATTCATCAATACAACAAATACCATTATCAGCAAGAACTAATGCACCCCTAAAATTGAGAAAATAAGATCAATTGTGCATATACAGAGCAGGTGAATCTTACGTTTGAAGTACGAGTTGGCCAGTTTCAGGATCCTTGGTGACATAAGCTGTTAGACCGACGGCACTTGTACCTTTTCCATTTGTATATTGAGCACGTGGAACCAAGCGATAGATGTATTGCTGTAATTGCGATTTGGCTGTGCCGGGATCACCGCAAAGTAAGATATTGATTTGTGAACGACAACTTTTTCGTCCGGCATCGGTGAAAGTTTTCTTTGTACCGCCAAATAATTGTAAAAGAATGCCTTTTTTGATATCATCATGTCCGAAAATACTTGGAGCTGAAAGAGAAATAAAATAATGAGTGTGTTACGGCATGGATGTCTTACCAATTGCATTAGATAATAGTTCATATATATCGGGACGTTCCGAAAGGTTACGAAATTGAGCTAGACGTTCTTTGGAAAACTTCGACGAACTAAAACAGATTGTTTTTCATGAAAATATCAGACGAACGAGCAGATGGTGAACTTTCACCTGGATTCTTCGTCGTCATTTGTAGCTTGCCCTTCGGCGCCGCCTTCAGCAGTGAACGTTTTCTGACGACGGAAATGAATCACATCAATATACGTTCGATAAACAGAACGAACATTTCGTGTTTTGGGATTCATACGAACTGGTACCGCTCGAAATATACCAGTCACTTGTACACTACGAAATTCTTATTAGAATCGATTACAAACAAAACAGAATGCATACCGATCACCCGGTTGTACAGCATCGACCAGATCATTGTGAGCAACTACAGTAACCGTAACAGGTGTTTGACCAGCTGGCATCTCCTCTAAAGAAGAATTAAGACTATTTCGCTTTGAATTGATTGATTGAATTATTAACCTGGTGTTTCCTGTAATTTGATAAATTGTTTATCGGCAAATAAAGATCGATTATGAATCAATTCGAATGAATGTGCTGTGTTACACGATGTACACACAGTTGGCTCAGAAATTCTTCCGCGATCGATTTCCACTTGAACATGGAAGCTACATGTATTACAAATGAAGTACGCCGAACGCATCTCAGGCATAATCAATGATGAACGGATGACCATGCCTGTTAAACTGACCAGTTTGTCGATATCTAAAACCAACGAATTCAAACGACGTTTAACACATCATTCAAATAACCTTCTGGATCCAAACACCGCATATTTCGAAACATATCCACATTGTACGGTCGGACTTGGATTTGATGTGGAAGTGTGTCATCTTCATACATAGTAAAGAATAGTTCGTTGACAGCAATATCAAATATTGGAATAACTTCTTGTGGATAGGCAAGCAATTGATGATACAAAGTTTTATCAATTTGTTTCATATGTATACAATCAACATTGAGAAAAGGACGTTCGAGTAAATGGATTTCTTCCAGCTTTTGCATATAGAATGGTTTTGTTGGATCGACACCTTCGAGATTTGCTTCTTCAACATTCAAATGAAACTTTTTCAAAAATGCAATAAACCGACGTTTGCAATCATTGACATGAACATCGGTACCCCAGATAACCACTTGATTGTCAGCTGTGTTCACATCGATGTCACCTTCCTAAGAAAACTGTACAGTTTTACATTTTATTGCGGAGAAAGAGACCGACCAATTCTTCCTGCTCGTTGACTAAGCGCAATTTTCGCGCACTACCAAGATCAGATCGTGCTCGTGATGGTGTTGACAAAGGTGTTCGACCGCTAGGACACATATTACTATGTGCCGGTGATGTTGTAAACGTCATTGGTGAAAAAGCCATTCCTTTTGTTTTCATAAATCGAAAAGTAAAGATTTAATTGATTGAGAATGGCAAACCTCGATTCTTATTTGGTGTACGACCAGGGGTAAATGGCATTTGAAGGACAGAACTTGGTGCTGGACTTCCAATGGGTTCATCTTCTTGCAATGCTGTTAATGGATTTCGCTTTTTTGCCGCTGTGCAAAAAAAAAGAGATACGGATGAGATGAGTTCAATTCAGGAAATTCACTAACGTGTTCGTTGTGTCGATCCGGGTGTTTGTTTCGCCGGTGTTCGACGTTGTTTCGATGGTGTACCATTTGATTTCGACGGAGTTGTCATCTAGAAAAGTGAACATATCGTTTAACAAAATAATTTGGTGATTTTACGCATAGAAAGAAAGAAATTATTTTATTTAAATAATATTCGTTTCAAGTTTTCGTGTTATTGTTACAAGATGTTCGTGCATAGAATTGGTTTGTTCATGAATAGCATCAAGTTTCTCTTGTAAATTTATATTTGTATTTCCCAGAGATAAACGTGACGCATCAATTAACCGCACAAGTTGTTTCAATACGCAAACGAATTCTTCATGTAAACGATGATCCAAATAGATTGCATTATTGGCATGATTTTGATTCGATGGGTTATTTAACGAACGAATCAACATGTTTAATTTTAGCATGTCACTTGAAGAATCATTCAATGGTTTAATTATTTTTTGTTGAATGATTATAAAACGTTCAACAATGAATTGAATATTTTTCAAAAGATTATTTATATTATGCATTCGTCGATCTGAACTTGTATCCATATGAATCAATAAACGAATGATATCATCGAGATATTCATTAACACGTTTACATAATTGTATTGTCGATTGAGAATTATTATGGTATGAACAGGATTGTGTTAAAGCACAAGGTATCAATGATGGAGTTGATTTACTTGTTTCAGTTGCATAAGGAATGTTTAATGACGTCGACGGACAATAGGAAAGTAGCAGTTCACCGTTTAACATTGGATGATTCGTTTGAGATTCAAAACATGTAGTTGTGTTATTATTATTCATTGTGGATAGATTCATTCCGTGGATCATTGAAATATCTGGAGCAATCGCTGGATTACATGATGGAATTGATGGGCCAGTTTTCGAATAAAGATCAAATGGACACATATCGAGAAAGAAATCCAGAGGAATTAAAGATGATTTCGACATGATGGTTTGAATGAATGGAGAACAGAATGTGCACGTAAAAGTCGACTGAACTGAACAAGTAAGTAATGTTTTAGAAAGACTGCGGAACAAAGGACACAGACGACATTGATTATTGTCAACAGATATCCGAAAAGATGTACAGTAGGTTCTCGATGAATTTTTTCCGAGTGAATTTTAAAAATAATCTAATCAATATATACAAAGTGACGAGAAAGAGGTCGCTCATCTACTCAAATATGTATAAAACATAGTCCAAATGAAGAAAAGATGAATGATGATGGTTTTCACTTTGATTCGTGCGCACACTTCTTCATTGACGTTCATCTCAGAAATGAAGACAATTTGTCAAGAGTAGGATGTTCGATAAGACTTTAATTTAGGTTCTTGGAAAACAGAAAAAGTCATGAAGAGATCGTTCTTATCTCAGAAAACTAAGTTTCCGTTTGACTGGAAGTAAATTAATTTAAAATGATGTTTTTCTTATTATTTTGAATATTTGACTGATAATCATCACTGTTTCATCCGGTTCAAATGAAGCTTTCGATTTTGAATAGAAAAAATGCTCTTCAAGATCAATCAGGCGAAATGCATTGACTGCTTTTACTCAACTGAACGATTATCAAGATTCATTAGTTCGTTTAAATGTTTGTTTGCCCATTCTCTGATTGCTTTCAAGTGAAACAATTGTTTTCAACTACTGTTCATACATTTCAATGTCAAAAGGCATAGAACAGGAATCATTGGGACATTTCGTACTGATTAACAGATTTATTATCGAAAAAAAGCAAAGAAATGTTTTGTTGACATTGAAATCGAGTCATTAATTGAGAATGTCCGATGACATCACGATCTATGATGTGATCAGAGGAAAATTCTGAAGTAAATCTAAAATTTCTTTGAATGGAAAAGACACTGATCAAATAAAAATATCGATTTTTCTTTTTAACAATGAGAATGATTGTGTACACGATCGCATAAAAGAGTTTGAAGGAAAACAATTAATCACAGTCCAATAATGAACGCTTCAAACATTACAACATGTAAAATGTTTTCGGCATAGATAGAAATGAAGATTATACATAGATGACAAGCAAAAATATATGAAAAATAGTAATCTCAGTTCGAACTGTTTCCAATTTTTCTCACAAGATCCATATAGTCTCAACAGAAGATACAAACGCACCACGACCGGTTTGTTCTGTAACAGCATGATGACAACACATAATCTTTTGTAATATTTGTTATCCTATTAACTAAACAATATGGTAGTTGTTTTGATTTTTTTAATCTTTATATGTATGGAAACCTCTCTAATTTGGTCTTCCACTTTTATCCCATTCGATACCATTATTCTTCAATATGCTTTAACTATTTGGAACAGCTTCAAAATATAATGAGTTCAATAGTAGTTAATTGGCTACATTAACGACATCGAATTCCGTACTTGATACCTGCTGATTAGCTTGAATATGAATATCATGGCTATTCATAATCTTTGCATAGGATCGATACGAATATTTTTTTGGCAGTTAAAAGTAGATTGCTATTTTCGTTTAAATTTCCTTGTTGAAGGTTCAGTGATCTGCATGTTCTGCGGACTTGAAGGTAGCAAGCTAAATAAAAAGTTGACTTTCGCAGAGACCGCTGTTATGTTTCATTGATGATATTCTATCTATTTAGAGTCATGTTTACGATTATTAAAAAGCCTACAAAAAATGAAGATGATTGGTTTTTATATGAATGGAAACTACACCAGTGCGTGTATACAACGATAGAGAGAGGAAAAGTTCATCCAAGCACTGCTGTGGATCAATAAAGCATAGTACAATAAGAGAAGGAAAATAGCATAATGTGTTGGAGTGAATGTAATCTCTCTCCCTCTCTATCGCATGTTTGCATCTACTGCACAGTCAGTTAGCTGTAAGATCTGCGAAAAACTGGTTACGTCGAGAAATAAAAATATAGAAGATCTTATTTTATGTGAAACTTTATTCGAAATTTACCAGATTTCAAAGTATTGTATGTTTTTAAATTAGGGAATATCTTCTCCCTCTCTCAAAAGTACAGGAGTTCATGAAATTTTCAGAAGACAGAATATGATAAAAATTTGAACCAAGCAATTATTACAGATACTAGATCATTTGATAAATACACCAAAAAAGCGAACTTTTCGCGGCGAATATTTTTGGTACAACAGGGAAATTATGAAGTTTTTTAAAATGAAGAAGAAATTTATATCTAAAAATTGTAAGGGACCCATTTTCTAAATCAATTTCGTTCATACCCTATACTTATCTTAATTTCAAAACTGCGAAAAGTGCTTCTAGCGTCTCCTGCAGATTTCATTTATCTCAAAAATAGTGATATTTTCTAAAAAAACCTGTTCCTACCATCTTCAGAACAGTTTTCTCTTTTGAATGGGAAACACGAGCTGCAACATTGTCGAGCAAAGTGTGCGTAGATGCTAATAACATATTATGCATAAGAGAAAAGAGCGTAAAAAACATCACATTTTTGTCAAATTGTCGAAAAAAAACAAACACGAACTTCGAAAGTAAAATTTGTTTAAAGGCTACTCTGTCACCACCTACTTGAGAAGTTCATATATTTAATACAACATCGAATCTTTTCAACTCTACTTACAGTCATCCCGGCAATTTGAGAGCAAAATTATTGATGACTAGACAACTTTCCAATATTATTAGTGTAAATACGACCGTATTACATCACGATAAGCACAAAGAAAAATGAATGAGAGTGCAACGTGTTTTCACTAATGCTTCTAGCAAATGCGTCAAACCCCGACCAAACAAGCTTTGTTCATATCATATTTATACATAGTCTGAATGACGACACTAAAGACTATCGAAATACGTAGTTTTACAAAAATCGATCTCCTGCAGAGCGCATACCCTTTCATTCTACTTAAAGGAATATATTCGTAGTGTTTTGGATCATCTAAGATGGCATACAATATATATACCTAACGTTGAGACCCATTATATTTCATATTGCAGTCTAAACTCACGGCTGTATTCGTTTAGTTCATATTTATTTTTTCATAAAATTCTTATTAAAAAAAGCAACAGGCAACGCTTATTTCTTTGACTTCACTTCCTTTAACTCGGCAACCATCACTTCCGATAACTTGAACTTTTGCACTTTGCCCGTCGGTGTCATTATGAATTTATCTACAAAACGAATATGTTTCGGAATCTTGAAGAATGCAAGTTTGTCCGATAGAAATTTAGTAATATCATTGACTGTGCATGTCGGTGCATTCGGTTTCAGTTTGATCCATGTGCACACTTCTTCACCATATCGTTCGTCAGGAATCGAAAAGACTTGTGCTTCGGCAACACTTGGATGTTCGATAAGAGTGTTTTCAATTTCCACGGGATAGATATTGATACCGCCACGAATGATCATTTCCTTTTGACGACCTACGTAATACAGATAACCATCTTCATCCATTTTAGCTTCGTCACCAGTTCGAAGCCATCCAGAAGGAGTGAGTGCTTCTTTTGTTTTCTCAGGATCATTATAATAGCCCATCATGATCGGGTAACCACGTGCCCAAATCTCACCTTGTTGACCTATGGGTACAGCATTACCATTTTCATCAGCTACTTTGACTTCTAACCGTTGCATACATCGTCCCAGAGATCCTTGACGTCGTTTGGGATCACTGTCACCGGCCCACATACCACTCGTCATAAGAGCTGAGTTTTCTGTCATACCATAACCTTGAGACACACGTCCAATTGGTATTTCTTTTTCCAGTTGTGCTAAGAAGTCTGTATGCATCGGACTTGCTCCTAGAGCACCAAAAGTTAACGAACTGAGATCGTACTTTTTTCTGTCCGGATGCATTAATATATCACGAAAGATAATCGGTGCGCCGATAAGAGCTGTACACTTCTCACTATGAATAGCTTGCATTGTTGTAACTGTGTCAGGTAAAATCGCCGGAAAAATTACTTTTGCTTTCGCAACAGCCACATTCAATACGCCAACCACCTCTGCAAATATATGAAACATTGGAATAGGAACACAGAGACGTGTGAAATATTGGCCCAGAAGTTCCCATTGAGCATGCACCAAATTGAGTATGCCGTAATTCGTAAGTGTCGCCGCTTTTGGCTGACCGGTTGTGCCCGATGTGTAAAATATTGCCACCGCCGAATCGGGATTCACTGATGCTTGCCGCTCTTCCAGCTTATTGTGTGACAGTTTACTTCCGCGCTTCACCAAATCATCATACGAATGAGTTCCACTGCTCTTCGATCCATCGCCTGTCAGTATCACGTGTTTCAACGTCGGAAGCGCTTTCGACGATAGCTCACGAGATGTCGAGTGACTATCCAGTTCAGGAACCACCTTTCGAAACAGGTCCAACGATGGAATCACTTTCACCGATGGTGGCAAAATCAAGCCTTTGCATCCCACCTTGTTGATGCAATACTCAAGTTCACGACCAACATAAGCAGGATTGATATTCACCTACAATCATTCTCATGAGAAATCCATGGATCAATACAGTATCGACTCACTTTGATGAGACCTAGTTTCGATGCAGCATAGGTCATTGCGACATTCTGTGAGGTGTTTGGTAGCCATACCGCAAACCGATCATTCTTNGTTCGAAGCCATCCAGAAGGAGTGAGTGCTTCTTTTGTTTTCTCAGGATCATTATAATAGCCCATCATGATCGGGTAACCACGTGCCCAAATCTCACCTTGTTGACCTATGGGTACAGCATTACCATTTTCATCAGCTACTTTGACTTCTAACCGTTGCATACATCGTCCCAGAGATCCTTGACGTCGTTTGGGATCACTATCACCGGCCCACATGCCACTAGTCAATATGGCACAATTTTCTGTCAATCCATAGCCTTGGGCTATACGTTTAACTGGTATTTCTTTCTCTAACTGTGATAAGAAACTAGGGTGCATTGGACTGGCACCAATTGCAGAGAATTCCAATGAGCTTAAATCGTATTTGTTCTTGTCAGGATGTGTTAAAATATCACGAAAGATAATCGGTGCACCGATAAGAGCTGTACATTTTTCTTTGTGAATACTTTCCATCGTCGAAACAGTATCAGGTAAAATCGCCGGGAAAATTACTTTTGCTTTCGCGACAGCCACATTTAGTACACCGACGATTTCAGAAAACATGTGAAACATTGGAATAGGAACACAGAGACGTGTGAAGAACTGGCCAAGGTGCTCCCATTGAGCATGCACTAGATTGAGCATCCCAAAGTTACTTAACGTTGCTGCTTTCGGTTGTCCAGTTGTGCCCGATGTGTAAAATATTGCCACGGCCGAATCGGGATTCACTGATGCTTGCCGCTCTTCCAGCTTATTGTGTGACAGTTTACTTCCGCGCTTCACCAAATCATCATACGAATGAGTTCCACTGCTCTTCGATCCATCGCCTATCAGTATCACGTGTTTCAACGTCGGAAGCGCTTTCGACGACAGCTCACGAGATCTCGAGTGACTATCCAGTTCAGGAACTACCTTTCGAAACAGGTCCAACGATGGAATCACTTTCACCGATGGTGGCAAAATCAAGCCTTTGCATCCCACCTTGTTGATGCAATACTCAAGTTCACGACCAACATAAGCAGGATTGATGTTCACCTACAATCATTCTCATGAGAAATCCATGGATCAATACAGTATCGACTCACTTTGATGAGACCTAGTTTCGATGCAGCATAGGTCATTGCGACATTCTGTGAGGTGTTTGGTAGCCATACCGCAAACCGATCATTCTTTTCGAATCCGAGTTCGAGAAGAGATGCAGCTAGACCATCGACTTCCTCTTTGAATGACTTGAAAGTATATCGTTTTTGTTCGCCTGCAGAATACGAGATTGACTAGGAAAGGTTGTGATCGAATAACTTACTCGAAAAGACATAGCACTCATGATCTGGATATTTGGCAGCAGTCTCGTCAAAGTTTTGACTGATTGTTTTGTAGACGAATGGAAGTGATGAAGAATGGTGAAAATAACTTGAGGTTAGTTTGGCGGATGACACAGCAGAGGAGGAAGCATGTCGAAGTTTGAGGTGAAAAACGATGCACGATGCTTGTTGTTGCGTTAGAAAACGTTTGGTAATTCCGATAAACATGGTGTGAGCTTATTAGTATTCAAAGTCCAAAGATACACGTGTCCTAGTTTTGTAGACGTATAGTAAGACGCAAGAGAATGAAAAAGTTTTTCTTATCGTTCGCTGCTGTTTACGTCGTTAGTATGTGCGTGAAAAAATCTAAATATAGTTAAGAAAGAAAGGGAAAGAGGTAAAAAATCTTGGTAAATATTGGAAAGTGGGATGGAATATGTCAGCCTATATATCGTAGTGCGCGAGTACATTCGTACTGTTTTAGTGGACTTACAACCATTCCAATAAATGTGTCAAACTGGATATGTGTTAAATATTCTCATATGCGTAGTATTATGCAAGCATTACCAACGTATGTATGTATCTCTATATAACAGCTGAATGAAATTGTCACTTTGTACACGTTCGAACCATTGGTTCTTCATAGAATTGGATTATGAAACACTGCAGGATGGTTTGTTTTACGGTGATAAAAATCATTTTCGTCTGCTAAACAACTGATTACTGTATAACTCTTTTCGTTTGTTCATAACTCGCAGAAGAACCTTACATACAATTAATCCATACCAATACATTTTAAGGAATGGACTGTGAAAACTTATGAATACTATATTTAAACTCCCCTGAACGAAACCATAGGATGAGACACGAAGGTTAACGCACTCGAGCAAAGTACCTCAATCTCCTTTATCAATTTCCACAAAAACCAACTATTTTGGAAAAAGCACACTTTTCAACACTGAAGGTAGAAAACTGCGCTAAACCAATAAAATCTTCTACACAAAAATTATCGAAAAGAGAGTGTTTATTTCTTCGACTTCACTTCCTTTAACTCGGCGACCATCGCTTCCGATAACTTGAACTTTTGCACTTTGCCGGTTGGTGTCATTATGAATTTATCTACAAAACGAATGTGTTTCGGAATCTTGAAGAATGCAAGTTTGTCCGATAGAAATTTAGTAATATCATTGACTGTGCATGTCGGTGCATTCGGTTTCAGTTTGATCCATGTGCACACTTCTTCACCATATCGTTCGTCAGGAATCGAAAAGACTTGTGCTTCGGC